GTCCTGGGAATATTGGCACCTTCGAATGGGTTAAAATGCCATTTGGTCTAAAGAATGCTGGGGCTACATATCAGAGGGCTATGAACACTATTTTTCATGACCTCATTGGAGGATATTTAGAGTGTTATATTGATGATTTTGTAGTTAAATCCTAATCCATGGAAGAGCATCTGTTTCACTCAGAAGCAGCTTTCGAAAGAATGAGAAAGTTCAAGTTGAAACTCAATCCTCTTAAGTGTGCTTTTGGCGTATCATCTGAAAATTTCTTGGGCTATGTAGTACACAAGAAAGGAATACAGATTGACCAGAATAAAGCCAAAGCCATCATTGAAGCCAAACCTCCATCAAGTAAGAAGGAATTACAAAAGTTCCTTGGACAGGTTAATTTTCTTCGAAGATTCATTTCTAACACTACAGGGAAAACTAAAGTATTTTCTTCCTTGTCAAGGTTAAGAGATGAAGAGGAATTTATGTGGACAGCAGAGCATCAAATTGCTTTTGAAGGAATCAAAGCCTACTTGGCCAACCCTCCAGGGCTAATGCCACCAAAGGGTGAGAAGCCCTTGAAGTTATACATAGCTGCAGCAGAGGATTCATTGGGAGCTTTCTTAGCCCAAGACAATGAAGAAGGCAAGGAGCAAGCTGTTTATTACCTTAGTAGGTTTTTAAATTCTTGTGAATGTAAATACTCAGCTGTAGAAAAGTTGTGCCTTGCATTGTATTTTGCTGCAATAAAATTAAGATACTATCTTTTATCTACAACTGTCTTGGTAATTATAACTACAGATTTGGTTAAGTATATGTTATCTAGACCTATATTGAGGGGAAGAATTGGCAAATGGATACTAGCTTTATCAGAATTTCATTTAGAATATGTTTTCTAAAAGGCAGTAAAAGGACAAGTTTTAGCTAATTTTTTGGCAGATCATCCATCTCAAACAGAAAACCAGGAGATAATAGAACTTGGCATGGCTAGTGTTGAGCCATGGAAAATGTGGTTCGATGGATCAAAAGCCAATGGCCTATCTAGAATTGGTATAGTGATTAAGTCACCACAAGGAGTAGATGTAACGCCCTCAAAATAAACCCATTATATGTATATCATTGACATGCATTATTTAAAGAAAACAATTTATTCATTCATTCATCAGAGTATTACTAAATAAAAACATTACATGTAACATCAAATTAAATGCCCTATGGGCTTACATCTTTCCAAGCCATCACTTGGACACAAAATATGAGTTCTAACTCAAATACAAATAAAGCCCTAGGCTTGATTATTCATCAAATAAAAGCAAACAACAAAAGCTAGTCTTCAAAATCCAAATCCTTCCAAGCTAAGTCCTGGGAGGTAGCTTATCACCTGGACCTGAAAATGATGTTCCCATAAGGGTGAGCCACAGCCCAGTAGAAATATACTAAACCAAATATAAGCATTGAATAAAGCATTAGTATTTAATAGATGGTTAACCAAGATAATCAATTACATTACTATCCAGTCTCATGACACTAATGTCTAAAACACGTTTTACTTTCCAACATTATCAATCTGGCTCAGAACCTGGCCAAACTTACAACAGTGAACTATATATATCATATTCACATTCTTCCAATGTCAACAAACAATTGAGACTCAGGCTCAAATCAAAACACTTCATACTTCCAGTTTGATACACATTTTAGTGCTGTATCAATAAAACACTTCAATATAAAATAAGCACACATAAAGTAATGCTAATGGAGTCCATACGAGACATCCTCGTCAACTACTAAATCGGTCCAATCCAATACATGTGATGGATCCGGTTCATACTTCCGAAGCATACTCACATGAAACACGTCATGTACTCCGGACAACTGCGGTGGCAAAGCTAAACGATAAGCAACCTCCCCAATCCTCTCAAGGATCTCAATTTTCAAAGTGTCCCCAACCTATCAAAATACCAAACTTAGAACAAAGCATATAAAATTGGAGTAGGAAATCCCTACCTCGAAGAAAATAATCCGTATAGAGAAGATGGAGATGAAGACCAAAGACCCACGTGCTCCAAATCCCAAGTTTCTCAGATTAAAACAAAGCTCTCGCGAAGCTCTACCTTTCTTCCAAAGGAACTAGGGTAGAAGACCACCGGGAATAGATCAAAACTTAGAGAGAAGGTAAGAGTAGAGAGAGAAACTCTCAAGGGGCGGTTTTTAAAAGTTAAGAGAGAAAAAGTAGGTCAAAAAGTGATCCAAAAAGTGAAATCACGGACTGATGTAGTCGATTCTACGCTCGAGCGTAGAAAACCCCGCTCGAGCGTCACTCACAGACTCACGCTCGAGCGTGAAAAAAGCCGCTCGAGCGTAGATTGCACACTTCCAGAAGTTTTGCAGGCGATGGTATCCGCTCGAGCGCCAAACTCCCCGCTCGAGCGTATGGACAAAAACAAAGGATCACGCTCGAGCGTAAAAACTGCCGCTCGAGCGGACGAACTGCAGAGTAAAGTACTGGGAGATGGAAAAACACGCTCGAGCATCAAAACTCCCGCTCGAGCGGAGAAGCAACAACGAAGGGACCGCTCGAGCGTTAAAACTTCCGCTCGAGCGTGAAGGCCAAAATCTGGGCATCACCTATTGGCATCTAAAATCAACCAACCTGTAACAGACCCGCCCAACACAACCTATACTTTAAATACAAAGAGATTAAAGGACAACAACAACCAATAAATAATGACAGGATCTACGGAGCCTAAGTCCGGATACAATAATCTAAAGAGAAAAGACCGGGGTCGCTATAGTAGAAACCACACATGGTTTCAGAGTAGATGAAATTACTTGTTCTAATAATCAAGCTGAGTATGAAGCCTTAATAGTGGGACTGGAAATTCTTATTGGATTACAAGTTCATGCAGTCGACATATTTGGAGATTCTCAGTTGGTGGTTAACCAAGTAAAAGGAATTTTCAAATGTCAAAGTATAAGCATGTTACCATACTATGTTGTTACATTACATCTGCTTTCTCAATTTCAAATAGCAAATGTAACTCATGTCCCAAGATTCTTGAATAATAGAGCTAATGATATGGCTCAGAAAGCTTCGAATTTCAAGAGAAGTGATAATGCTCAAAGGGACATAAGCCAAACAACATATCAGAAATTAATACTGCCCTTAGGTAAAAGGAATGGGGTCCTGGAAGTCAACCAGAATGACTTACAAGAACAAGATTAGAGGCATCCAATAATGCAGTACTTGGCTGGCCCATCTTCGAAGGCCAGTAGAAAAATTAAATTACAATCTATGCAATACGTGATATATGGTAATGCTCTCTACAAAAGAGGGGGAGATGGTTTATTGTTGGAATGTTTAGGCCCAAAAGAAGCATTAACAACTATGACTGAGGTTTATGAAGGCACCTATGGTGCTCATCAACCTGGGGTGAAAATGAGATGGTTGCTTCGAAGGCATTCATACTATTGGCCAACTATCCTTAAAAACTGCATAAAATATGCAAAAGGTTGCCAGGCATGTCAAAAACATGTCACAATAAGGCATGTGCCCATAACTGACCTGCATGCAGTAGTGAAGCCTTGGCCATTTAGAGGATAGGTCATGGACATGATGGGAAAAATACACCCACCTTCTTTGAAGCATCATTGTTTTATTTTGGTGGCCACTGATTACTTCACTAAGTGGGTCGAAGCTAAGCCATACAAAACTGTAGACCAAACTGAGGTCATTGGATTCATTAAGGATTTAATCCATAGATTTGGTATCCCACAGACTATAACTGTTGATAATGGGACGGTATTCGATGGGAAAATGGTGAAGTCTTTTGTGGCAGAATTTAGAATTAACCTTGTTACTTCCACCCCCTATTATGCACAAGCCAATAGTCAAGCTGAATCATCCAATAAATCCTTGAAAAAAGGAATACAAAAGGTTGTGGAAGACAATCCTAGGGATTGGCATAACTTATTGTTGGATGTATTGTGGGCTTATAGAACTTCTCCAAGGTCAAGCACATGAGTCACTCCTTATGCCTTAGTATATGGGCATGATGCAGTGTTACCTGTGAAAATTAATGTTAAGTCCTTGAGGGTAAGATGCCAGGACCAGTTAGATCTTGAGCAATACTATCAGAGTATGTGCTTGGAATTAGAAAGCATAGATGAAGCTAGAATTCTGGCATTAAATAACATTCTGTTTCAAAAGAAGAAAGCAGCCAAAAACTATAATAAGAAAGTCAAATACATTGGCTTTGATGAAGGTGATTGGTATGGAAGACAATACTCCCAATAGGGATTAAAAGCCATAAATTTGGCAAATGGTCACCTAATTGGGAAGGACCATAACAAATTCATAAAGTCTTGCCTTTTGGAGCATACCATTTGAGAAATTTAAATGGATACATACATCCCAAAAAGATTAATGGCAGATATTTGAAGCCTTATTTTCCAATCATTTGGGAAACACAAGGAATGAAGTAAACATTAAGTACAAAAACACGAGAATACTCAAATGATAAATAAGAATTTGTTCTTCATAAAGAGTTGAATACATTCTGCCATAAATTGGCCCAGAAATCATTACAGTGTCTCAGTTATTCTTTTACAATGGATGTTTTATTCTTAAAAGATGAGAACAACTAGATGGCTGTGGTCATTTCCTGCTTTCAGTCAGCCAATCCTTGGTTGGTGATCTGCAGTTTGGTGTTAATTCGGATTAAGGCCTGGTTCGCTGCAGATAGCTCCTCTTCAAGTTGAGTTTTCCTCCCCAATAGTTAAGTTCGAAAGTGGGAGACAGAAGAATGTTGTTCCTTTAATTCTGCTACCTCAGTATGCACTGTGGAAACAAAGCTCTGATCTTCAACCAATTTCTCCTCTGCAGCCTTGGCAGCATGGCAAATGTTGATATAGAAAGTCAATAGTGGCTGATGCCTGAGATAAATGACTTGAGACAGTCATGCCAAATTGCTCAACAATCTTGCAGCACTGAAGGAAGCCATTTCTTATTATAGGTCTCTCTAAGGCCTCAAAGGGGATCCTCGAAAAGGATATCAATAGCTCCAAGCAGTTATCCAAGTCTATTAGAGGTAAAGAAGGCTTATCATTGGAGGAAGAGCTCTCACAAATTTCTAGTAAAGAATCAGCCAAAACTAACGGCTTAGTCTCACCACTAGCCATTGGAGAGGTAGAAGGCAGGTCGAAGAGACTAGCTAGTCTTGCTTCAAAAATGTCTACCTCATCTGTGGACATGAAGAGGGCAGAAAGGGCTTTGGTGGAAGGCACAAAGGACTGCATAGAGATAGGAGAAATGGGTGGAGCATCTTCAGCAGTCTCTATGGTTCTAGCCACCAATAAATCAAGGGAAGAAGGGCTGGAACTAGGAAAAAGTAATAAACTACGAGTTGGAGAGCCGCCAGCACTCTCTTTAGGAGAATCAGCTACCATCAAAGAGAAGGTAATAGCTGGAGCTTCCTTAGGAGGAGAAGGAAAAGCAAGGCTCGAAAGAGAATTAAATTGAGATAGGTCAAAAGATAAGTAAAGAAGATATGGAGTTAAGCCAAAAGAAAGTGATGCAGGAATACTTGGCCTTAGGAAGGGTATAGAAAATATAGGGCCTGGAAGTGGCAGAATTATTTGAATGTTCTTCACATCTTGAGTTTGTTCCACTTCAACTGAAACTGAGGTAGTCCTTGTTGGAAGAACATGCTCAGTAGTTGTTGCTGCAAAAGAATAAGTACAAAGTAATGTCAAGCCTCAGTACCTAAAATCTGACAAAGGAAAAACAGTAGAGCTTTGAAAGAAGTTACTTGTTTCAGGAGTAATAACAACAATAGGAGAGCTACAAAGGGAATAGTGCTCAGCAATATATTGCCTTCTTGCAGTTTTCCTTTGGATTGCATCAGCAGCAGCAGCTTGATCTCTTAAGAATTGTTGCTGCCGTCTCTTCTCAGCTCTATCAAAAACAATTATGGCCTTAGAATGTTCCTGCTCCACTACCTTGGCAGCTACCTCATGAATAAGGTCTTCGACCAAATCAAAAGGGGAGACAATCATCTTCCTTCTCATTTTTCTCTATATTGGTGCTGCATGTTCCTTCTCAATTTCTCTTTCTTCAATTTGGGATTCAGATTCCTCAGAAGTGAGTTCCTCTGCTACTATTCTGGCAGTTGTCCCATGAGTAGAATCTTGAGCCAAATAAGGAGAAGAGACAGTCACTCTCTTTCTTCTTTGCAAGAGTGTCTCTTGCTCTTGAGCTTCTTCTTCTTCTTCTGCCGATTAAACTTCAGGTGCTTCCTTGACAGGATCAGGCAAGAGTTTCTTTTTCTTCTTTTGTTGTTTGCTCCTGAGGAGATGTAAAGCTTGGGTCTTCTGAGGAGAATCTCCTTGTGAAGCACCAGCACCACCTTCACAAAAGAAAAACAAAGGATAAGGCTAAGAAGCGTTATAAAAAAAGACAAAAGGAGAAGAAACAAGGGTATCTGCCTTTCTTAGAAGCAGCCCGAGTGACTATAGGAGGATTGGAAGCAGTAGGAGTAGACTGTGTGGTGGCAGGCATAGGAACTGAAGTGGTAAGAGCAGTGGAAGAAGTGGCAACTCCAGCTCCTTTGGGTTTGGATTGGGGCACATCTAGCACCATTAATAAGTCTTGAGGAGCAATGGCTAAGTATACTTCCATGTTGGTCACTCACCAGTTTTAGTACCTCTTCAATGGGTTACCTTGAGGGATAAAAGGGATGTATTCAAAATCGATCAAGTCCTGTATAAACTTAGAAGTTGCCTTTTCTAGTCTGAACCTTCGAACCTTTAAATCCCTGCTAGTAAGACTCAGATTCGTGTTACTGTAGAGAGGTATTGGGACCCCTTGTGAGAAGCCAAATTATCTAGCAAATTGAGCAGGACAATAAGGCTCGGTAATGCATTTGTAGGCTCAGGGGTTCATAATCCCAGTAAATAGCTCTCTGGGGATCAGAATAGAAGCCCATATATCTTTATGAGGAGGTGAAGCACAGAGCCTATCACTTAGAAAATTCTTCAACCAAGATGGGACAATAGTAATGGGTTCGAAGGGACGAAAGCTGTAAGAAGGAAGGGAAGCTGGAAGTTGGTGGAAGAAAGAGAAGTAAAAAGCAAAAGTAGAAGGATAAAGTGAAGCATTGGCTAGCCTCATGCCATGAGTACGAGGGTTTGGCTCAAAAAATTTAAGACATTTAGACTGTAGCTCAGCAAAATAAGCAAAAAGCCAAAGCTGAAGTATCCAAAATAGACCTCCTTGATTGATATCTAAGGGTTTCTCACAGAAAAGAGAACAAGCTCTATATACATGACCTAGAACATATGGGGCTAAAGCCACCTTTTTTCTGTAGGACAAGAGCTTTGGCAAGAGGGACAAATTCAGGCATAATTCTTTGAGAAGAAGTGCAAAAAAGAAATTTACAAAGCCAATATAATATGTAAGAAAAGAATTCCCTATCAGTTATAGGGCCCTCCCTTCTATTCTCGGCCTTAACAAAGTCACTGTAGGATGAGTTAAGGAAGGGACGGGAAAAGGGGACTGGTGAGTCAGGATAATCTGGTCCAATGGGGGTACCAATGGGAGACAATCCTAGTAGATGGCAAATATCAAGAACAGTATGGGCCATCATCCCACATCTGAATTGGAAAAAATTAAAAACAGATCCAGAAGCAAAGGGTAGCAGGAATTAGGAAAGGGTCCTCTGAGATGGTAAACCTGGATAGTTGAAAGGCATCGAGAAGACAGAGCTCTTGAAGGTCCAAAGTCCTAGCAGGGACAACTCGATCGTACCATTCTTGCCACTTCGGTCTCACCGTAAGCCAGCATCGGTGGGGACGGTTCATTCTCCAGGTACCCCAGTCAAGACCACCTTCGTAAAGAAGACAGTGGTCTTCTAGACGTGGATATAACGCTGGAAGCTTAGTAAGAATCTCCTTGAAGATGGGCCCAAGCACATAGTCCTGTTGCTCATGACGTCGAGGGATGAAGATGCGTCCATCGATGACGCTTTTCTCACCGGCCTTGTACTTTTCACATTCTGCCTTAATGATCCTTTTTAGGGTTACAGACGGGGTCGCGCGCTCTACAACTAGTACTTTCAATGAAGAAGAAGCCATTGATTGAAAGCTTTCTCAGAGGATGAAGTTGGGAAAGGGAGTAGAGAGTCAGTAAAGATAAAGGGTTTGTGTGTTAGACGAGCGAGTGATTTCAAAACATGAAATAAAAGGGTTTTAACAAAACCTTTGTGTCTAAAAAATGTATCACATAATTCGTTAAGTATTAAAAGTACAAATACGAAGAGTTTCCTTCAATATTGATACTTTTGGAGGGAAAAACACACCCCGATGTTGAGGCCAGCTTCGAAGTATAATATTTGGCTTCGAAACCAGATTTTGGCGCCAAAACCCAAATAATAAATGGCTTCGAAAACTGAGAAGCCGGCTTCGAAGTACATTTCATACCTATGGATGTAAGAATGCTCAAGTATTTGTTTATTTCAAAGGGATTAAAGATTTGTTTCAGGTTTCTCAATGAAAGTAATGTCCTTCGAAGCAAAACTTGAGATCTCTTAAGGATGGGAATTGGTATTCGAAACATCAAGACCAATAGTTGGTTTATATATATTCAGAAAAGATTGTCTTTTCAGACTAAAACAGTGTAGCCCTCAAAAGGAGTTTCCATATTTTTGAAAGTATGGACTATTGTTCAAAGCAAAATGGTCAATTTAAAACTGATTGATCATACTAAATCATGACCATATATTTGGTTATAATTGAAACAAATTTTAAGGGGCAAGATTGTTAGATTCGAAGCACGGATATGAATGAAAAATCAGCAAAAACTATCAACTGCATTCCATAAATTGAAAAAGTTCACGTTTGTTTTTGTTAGTGTTTTATTTAAAACAAGTAAATCCAGATTCGAATGATAAGATTGTGCAGTTCGAAGCCCTAAATTTGCTTTTAAAGACAAATGGAGACAAGACCAAACAATGCCAAACAAATAGAAAAGTCTTAGTTGTATTAAAGCAAACGCAATTACATCGAATGGCCCTTTTTGGGTACAAATTCAAGTTCATAAAAGTAAGGAATAGAATAAATAACAAGATCATGAAATTTGATCCAACTATGATCAATGAATTTTTGTTCTTTCTTTATTCTATCCTCTATTTCTTCTAGAATTGGCTGCATAAGTTGATGTGCTCTCACTTCATAAAAGAGCTCTTCAGCCTTTATTTCGAATGTTGTTTCTCTCAATTCTTGTTCTAACTCATCTATATCCAAGTCATCCCAGTACGCAGAGTCTTTATTCTTGAAGTTATCGAATTCTTTAATGAAGTTCTCTGCTTCGTACTGGGCATGAATTCGAAAGGCAGAGAGTTGGTCCAAAGATTGAGTGGTGGCCACAGAAGTTCGATGCCAATGAAGAAGCAACGGAAGTTGGTCTAAAAACATATGAAGTTCTGCTTGGGCGAGGGGGTTGAGGACGTGACCCCGAGTTAGAATATCACAAACCCATCGAAGGTTCTTGAGAGGAACATCGTTTTCAAGAACATTGAAAGGCAAATGAGAGAAGGCCACAAGCAGAAATTGGGCTTGCTTCAGCTCAGCTGGAGTAGGGGAAGGTGGAGGCTAGTAAGGAGAAAAAACCTTATCTGCAGAGAGGGCAAGCCTCAGTCTCTCTGTCCAGCAAGGATTTGGTGGAGAAGGAGGTATGGGAGCTTCCATGTCGGGAGAAGGAGCAAGGGCAGAAGGAACAAGGACATTAATATAATCGAGCCAGTCAGAAGAGCAAAGCTTGGCCTTCTGAGCTAAGAATGATGGATCATACCCTTGTGCCTCTTCTAGGCGTCGGGCAGCGTACACTATCTTTGTAGGCATGGAGGATGTATACCATGCTACAAACAGATTATCTTCCAAACTGCGTCATCGGTCGATGAGCACGTAAGGATAAACCACCGAGCTTCGCGCATAGGAAGGAAGCTCTAAAGGATCAGTGAACTCGATGAAATGATGGTTAATTCGCTCCCTAAGATCATAGGCTTCAGGTTTCAACCAGCTTGCCTAGTCAGAAGCCCCAGAGGAAGAAGAAGCCACATCCCATGCAGAGGGTTGTGAAAAGGAACTTCCCATGTCCATATTTGCGACTTTCTGAATCAAAGGATTGAGAGCAGTTCATTCATAGTCCAAGGGTGAGTCAGGAGAAGAACTTCCCATGTCTATATTTGTAAGTTTCTGAATCAAAGGATTAAGGGCAATGTGTTCGTAGTCCAAGGGTTGATAATTTGCAAAGGCATCCATGACCTGAATATAGAAAGGTGGGTAAAGGTGACTAATTAATGCATGGAGGTTCTTTCGAGGAGAAACAGCATCATCAGATGACTCTTCATGTGCTCGATCAATGGAGGCAAAAATCGATTCCGCCATAAAAAATATATATCAGTTTGTTCGAATACTAAGGTGGTGGGGGTATTCCAAAGATTGAAGGAGAGTTTAATGCAGATG